TTATGGATACGGTTCGCCCGGTAATCCTACCGACCGGTTACCCATCTCGTTAACTGGACCCGTTAGGTCGGAACCGGGCCGGAACCGGCCTGGAGTATGCCATTGGGTGTATGGTGCCGAGTGGGTGTGCGCAGTGCCTTGCTGGCGTAGCCACTGCTCCAGTTGCTCGGCGACATACTCACCACCGTTATAACTATGAAGTGTGCGTACCCGTGCATGGTTCGGGTGGCGAGCCTCCAGCTGCGTCACCATGTCCTGCAGCACTCCACCCACATGGTTAATAATGTTGACGTCGTCGGTTCCACCCCTACCAATCACGCTAGAGTAGAATATCGGGTTTGTCGACTTAGTGAGCGATTATCTCAATAAATACAATTATAAATGTAGCTGAATCGACTGGACTGTCTCTGCGCCTGAGTAACCTGAAGATGGCTAGGCACTCGTGAAAGGGAGCTCATGACATGATGTGGACTTGAACACCCCACTGCCCGAGGGAGAAGGTAGGCACAGGCTGGTGGTATACGAGACTCTAAGGCTCTATGTTATTGCCCCATTACCATTATTCTTGTAACTGGCCGCGTGATAAACGACCTGGTAAGCACCCCAGTAATGGTGCCTGATTACCGGGAAACTGACTGATTATGGACCCTAGCCTTGTAACTGGCCGCCTGATAAATGACCTGGTAAACACCCCGGTAATGGTGCCTGATTACCGGGTAACTGACCGATTACCGACCCTAGCCCGTTAACGACCCAGTAACCTTATAGCCTGGTAACCGAGGCCGGTTATTAGTTATTCCCATTATTGGGTCAATAACATGCTGCAAGCTTGCACAAAAGTGTCGCTTCGCCAAACGCTTCCTCTTTCCGCGGCCGTGCCATGAGCCCAGCCTTGCAAGCTAAGTTGTATGATTTCAGTTCTTTCAATTACGGCAAAGGAGCCACCCACATTTCCGGCCTGCATGCCGCGTGCGGCTGTGGCCAACATTCCCACCTGCACAACGCACTGGCGCACCTCGTCCTTTTTCGCCAAGAAAATTTATATACACTTGTACAGGCGCATTTTGAGAATCGCACGCGTGCATCCGTGCGGTAAAATTCGCGCCTGGCTTTTGGGGCGTCTTGTACGAAGGGTTTATTCGGCACAGTACGACCGGACACAATTGTGCGAGGGGCTGCTTAAAAAAATCACTGATGACACGTCCCCTTTTTTGAGTGCGGGGGACAGGGTGCTGTCATGAATCCTCGCGGGTATTCAGCTCCGTATATGCGGTTGTATAGCACCGTTAAGTAAGGCGCCACGGGCTGCTGCCTGTAACACAGCAAAGGCGTAACCCGGGATGCTCAGATTGGCATTTGCGTCGTTACATTGCCCCCCACTTAGCAATGGACGTCCTCGGCCATTATTTCGAGCACAGGAGCCATCCCACCTCGCGCCAGTGCGCTGGTTTATCCATTACACCATGAAATCGCCAATTTGCGACTTGCTGGTTGCCAGAATCGAACCGCCGACCCGAAGTTTATTTCGGAATTCGTGCGGTCCCGTCTCGATACCATTGTAACACAGCAAAGGCGTAACCCGGGATGCTCAGATTGGCATTTGCGTCGTTACACTGCCCTTCAGTTTCCCTGATAGCATACTTATAATACTCGGCCGGGGTTCCCTCCAGGCCCGCGGACTTATTGTTGCGCATAGCCTTAAGGCCACTAGCAATTTCATCCTCCGTAAAATCCTTGTTAAGCCAAGCAGCTAATTCCCGTCGGTGCGTCACCTGGTCTGCGTCCAGCCATTTAAACTGAATACCCTCATTGCGGCATTGCCTCGTCTCTCCCGTACCAAAAACGCTCGGTAAAAGCATTAATATCTGAGATCCCGCAAGGAGGTGGTTTTCCCCCACGCAGCCATGTCCACAAGCCGCGTGGGTTGGACCGGGCGTCCTTAATCCTCCTCCGCATATCTTCCATTTCAATCTCCTGAATAGCGGCCTTCCTAACCTTCTTAAAGGCACGGTGCTTGGCCTTCCAGGTAGTCCTATGAAGATCGGGCAGCTTGCCTGAGACGGGGTCCCTGACCTCCTTACGGAAACTCATCATATCATTCCACGCAGCTGCACAGTCCTCGTTCCACCAGTCACGCTTCACAGACTTTTCCATCCCCCGTGCAACGCCGAACATCTCTCTAGCACACTTGTTGATAAGGGTGCGCAAGTCATTTATGCTTTCGTCACAGGGTGCCCCTTCCGCAAGCTTTTCCTTGAGAGAGTTGATGGTCGCTGTAATAATGCCATCTGGTTCACGAAAAAGCTCAGTGAAGCGGCCCTTGCGTGAAATATCAAAAATAGGGATCCGTTCACGTGCTAGGTGAGGCTTCCGACCCTGTGCAGCCCCTGGCCTCAAAACGGCATGCAGGCGAAGGATAAGCGGGTGATGATCACTCAGCACATTAGACTCTCCCCACAAGTAAGATCTAAGGACTTTGAGAGTGTTAATCTGCTCGAAGAGCCCGTAAGATGCAAGGCACAGATCAATAGAACTGTGACCCTCAGTTGAGTTGGAGTACGTGAAGCCCCCGGGCACATCACCAGGTGCCTGCCCATTGACAATGGCTAGCCCTGTGTCAAGTCACATTTGTGCCAACCGGCGGCCCTAAAACCCTAACAATTGAGCCCATTATCTCTATTTTTACGGGGAACGCTGACAAGGGAGTGTGCCCCTATTCCAATTACTTCGGGCAAGTCTAGAATAGCTGCTGTACGGGCATTAAAATCACCTGTGATAAGCACCTCATCATCCATGCACCGCAGTCTATCTAGCTCGCCAGTAATGCTTCCAAAAACAATGTCGGGGACCTCACTATACGCCAGGCCACTACCATCCATGCTGCTATAAACGCTGGACCCCTGGGGCGAGCAATAACCAGCCCCCAGTAGGAGCACCTGCCCTCCAGGGAGAACGCTATGGAATCGCAACCCGACGATCTCCACCCCAACAGGTGTATTCGTTAAGCCCACTTATCTCACGCAGGGGGCCAGCTCATCATGCACAAACACAGATACCCCGTCTGACCTTCGAGAGCCTGTGCACGGTGCTCTAGTGCATGCAAGGTGGCTATAACCCTGTAATACTAGTTGCCCCTTGGCATGAGTGCGATTAACGGACGCCTTCGTCTCTGTAAGGATGATTACATCATGATTGAGCAATCCACGAATAGCCTTAATCTGGTCAAACTTGCCTGCCGAGAAGGCATGGACATTCCAAATAAGGAAGCAGATGTTATTACCCCCCCGGCGTGCTCAGTAAGCGCCATGAGGTGAGTACCCCGCCATGAAGGGGCCCTCTTACTATCAATTAGGTGCCCAAAAACGTCCTGGTACCCTTTTTTGTACGATTCACCAAGTGCTGTGAGTGCCAGTGTCACCTGCACAGCCGGGAACGACTCATCCGCTACTTCCTCCACATTCAGGCCCAGCTGCTTCCGTAATGTGTACAAGGCATAATATGCCGCTGGGGTTGTCGTGATTCGAACCCGCTGGATTGTCCGCTTGCTGCTGCATGCAGCGACGTTCGGGTGTGCCTCAATGGTGCAATCTAAGAACACGACCCTCATGCTTGTAAGCTGCTGCAAGCACAGTTGCAGTTTCTGGATCACTTCCTCATGCGTCCAAGTAGCTGGTAGTCCGTCGATGACCAGTGCACCCCGGTCTATATATCCATCGGTGCTGCTGGTAGTCTCGGCCAGTGCTTGGGGGGGTCTGGGAGCAGGGGTGCCTGCTGTCATGTCAAACCCTCTGCGGCTTGCAGCCACCTCATGTGGCCTGGTAGTGGTCGCCGGCAGCTTTGGGGCTTTGGAGGTTGTAGTAGCTGGTACACAGTACAGCTCTACAAATACGCGTCGTCGGTTCAACCTCCATCAATCACGCTTGGTGGAATAACAGGTTTGGCGACTCAGTGGGCGATGCTCGCAAAAAATAACAATCTAGCTGGTACACAGTACGGCTCTACATCTTGAGAGGCCTTTTCAGCAGCCAGGTACTACAGAGGTGGTGGTATCAGCGATGGCTCTGTTAGGTCTTGGTTGCTGTTTTGGCTGCTGCTGCTTCAGCAGTTCTTGCTGCTCCTTTTCAAGTTTTTTCCGGGGATCTTGTTGGTCTTGCTTTGCAGGTGGCACTGCTTTGAGGCCAATGCGACGCCCCCCTGTGGCTCCGACACATCGTGCACCATCTGCCGGGGCTGTGCATGTGCGCTCCCAGTCATTGAAACGCTCCTGGAGCGTGGCGATACTAGCAGTAACGTTGTCCACATTCTCGGCCATTTCTCTGCAGCACACCGCTTGTTCCCTTGGCCTGCTTGCGGCGTGCTCGGCCAGCCGCTTTTCCAGGGCCTCCATCCGCCTATCAAGGGCCTTTGCGTCCGCCAATTGGCTTCACGTAATGATTGGCTCACGTCGCGACGAGCTTCGCTCGGTCTCGAGGGCTTCAATGCGCTCATTTAACTCCTTTAAGCGTTGCACCGTGAGCCTGCGCTCACCTACCGTGGCGCCAAGCTCCTGTCGCAACACAGCATTCCGCTCCTGAGGGCTTGTAACAACTGCTGCCTGCTCTTCAACTAGACTTCTCAGGTCGTTGATGCGGTGCTTCATGTCGTCGCTATTCTGCTGGCATCTGTCAACATGCCCTGCCAATAGACTCTGAAACTCTGCTTTGATAGTCGATATGCATCCATCTAGGGATGGCCTGCAGCTTTGAGCGATGTGCTTTTCCAAATGCTTAGCTGCTGGTGTTATTCTGCCAGGTGTTGAAATGTTGACCGTAGCTGGGCTTCTCTTGACTCCAATTATCTTGTGTCGCACGTTACGATCTTTCCTTTCAGTTAAATCGGATAGAACTCTAGCTACTGGTCGCGCTAGCTTCAGTCTAGGACTAATAGGGGTCATATGGACGTCGGGTTGTGACATTATGGTTGTGACATTATGTTGTGACTTGAGACTTGGCGTGTGTTAATGGGACTACTGGCCATGGAGATGTAACAACGAAGTTGGAAAGTGCTCTTCGAGATGCTGTGCATGG